TCCCTCTCCCTCTGCTCCTCCCGCACTCCCCATCCCCCCCCAGCCTCCTACCCTATTGCCAAATCCTTCCACATAGGGGATATCTAGAGTCTGTCATTTCACTCTGGGTAGGGTCCAGGCACTCCCCTAAGAGTCCAGGCTGAGAGAGCATCCCTCTTTGTGCTATAGGCACAGGATGACTGTTTGTATTCCAGGGATAGACTCTGATGCACTGCTCAGGGCCCCATAGGTTGCCCAGGCCTTCTCACTGACACTCACATTTGGGGGGTCCAGATCAGTCCCATGCTGGCCTCCCCGCCGTTGGTCTGGGGTCCAAGAGCTCTCCCCTCAAACTAAATTTTTTTCATGATTTTTTTTTGAATAAAGAATCTTTCTTATGGTCTTTGAACTTCACAATGACATAGGATAACCGTAATAAGGGAGGCTTGGCAGCTTGCTAAGTAAAAGTCCCACATTAAAATTGCAAGTCACTGTGTCGGGTCATCTCAGAGACTCTGAGGAGCCAGGTGCAGAAGCCACCATGTTTTTAGCCAAGTACCTACTGAGATTATTAAAATAGCACTGTAGGGCCCTAGCACAAACAATGCATTTGAAAGTGCAATACCAGCAGGGCCAGTTCTGTTTGGAAACAGCTCTTAGTTTGCACATTAATTTTTTTAACGCATATTTGTTGTAGTCCCCCTAATTGTGAAAAGGACTATGGTTTGCTAGTTGTGACAGCACTATGGCTTGTTTCCCCCTTGTATTTTTTAAGTCCTTCTGCCGTGTTATCTTGTCCTTGGTCTAAGCATTTGCTCTTGCCTAGTCATCAGGAAGGAAAGAGGGAGAGAATGCAGCCTTTGCTCTCCTCATGTTCACTCCAGTGTGATGCCCAAAGAGGTACTCTCCCAATTCTCAGACTGGAGTGCCTACAAAGGGCCCAGGACTGGAAGCCACTGCAATGACTTCTGGTGACAGTGACAATGAATATGGCACTGAGCTACCAAGCTACATTCTCCAAATAGCATCACTTAAAAGGAGACTTAAGAAGCCCGGCTGCTGTAAAGAAAACTTTGTAGGTGGACCCAGTCATTCTTGTTTATCAAGCCAGGCAATATGCAAGGGCTCAGTGTACAAAGAGTTCTCTTGTGCTGAGTAAGTGCTTGCCCCAAAAAGTACACAGCCAATAACAGCGGTTAGAACAAGACCCTGCCTAACCTATCTAAAACCTAGAGCCCTACTCCTGACTGTAGGCCCGCTCCTGGCTGAAGCTCTGCGTCTAGCCACTGTTCTACACTAAACATGTTAACTTATAACCACCCTGATGAAAAGAAACCACAAGTTCAGCCCTGTGAAGAAGACTGCCTCTAGAGTCACAGCAAGGTCTATCATGACTCATACTTTTCACGCTATCTGCCTTGGCCATAAGGTCTGTACTGGTTGGGGGTGTGTGCTGGCTATGCAGAGACAAGGAAGGTGTTAGAATCTCAAGGAAACTGTGGAGAAAATGCTTTTCTTTTTTATGAAAAAAGGGGGGGCCTGGTGACATTATCATCAGTAGTTACCTCTTTGGGCTGATTGTGCTTGAAACTAGTGTCATAATCCCTGCCCTCAGAGAGGTCGTCATTCATTGACCAGACAAACATGCTGAGCATCCTATGAGTCAGAGGCGTAGCAGACACTGCAGATGAATGAGGCAGATGGTATTGTCAGGACGTGTAGGCATAAGGATAAGATCTCAACATCAGTGGAACAGAATAAGAAGTTTTGAAATAGACCCACCCATGTATGATGGCCTTTGACAGCAGGGCAAGTTAAGCCATTGGAGAAAAGATATTCTTCTACAGATTGTACTAAAACAACTTGATGTCCATATGGGGAGATGACCCTTAACCCCTTGGAGCTATGCTCAAAAACACTAGGCTGGATCATAGAATGCTAAAACTGGGAAGTGGCATCCAGGAACTTTAGGTGAGAAAAGCCTTTTAATCTTATTTATTGTTACTGTTGCATAGGCACATAAGGTATGTACCTAAAATGGGTAAGGATTAATGTATGTGAGTTATACTACAGTGAGTTGAATTTTTTTCAGTTCTCTTCAGTTCTCCGTGAGTCTTAGCTAAGACGCAGGCTCCTTATTCTATCTGAGAAGCCCATGTGTGGCCAGAGTCTCTCTTACTCCTTCCCATCCTGTAGTTCTTCCCCTTCCAGGACCCTGCCTTCACTGTCCCTTTTTAACCAGAGTTTCCTTCCCTGGGCCTTGGCATTGATGGTCCTGGCTCAGGGGTCACCTTCTCAGTGAAGTCCTTCCTAACCTCCTAACTCAGGACCAAGCCCATCAGAGTGTGTCTTCCTAAGCATGTGTCATGCATTGGCATTCATATTTTCACATGTACTTACTTATTTTGTGCTTCCCCCATGAGACTGTAAGCCCCATGTATCATAAGTCATCTTTGTGGCCTACTCTTGAATCTCCAAGACTGAGAGTGGAGTCTGCCGACAGCACATCTTCAATAAATATTTTTGAATGTGTAAAAGGATTAAAATTTGAGAGTTTGCAGCATGGAGAGAAGAGAAATGCATAAAGGAATAGCACTGAATGATTTGAGCTTTGGAAGGCTATAGAAATCGGGCAGGGAGCTACAGAAAGAGTGAACTCAGGCAGATTATGCAAAAGACTTCTGACAAGATGATAGTGAAGTTGGAATTGATTCTCACTGCCACTCAGTTTCTCGGAAGAAGCACTTGCAAGGACAAAAAAGATGCAACTCATGTATTTAATTGCATTTTTTGTTTTTAATCAATTTACTCTTACTCTTGTAAATTTTTTCATAATGTATTTTGACCACATTCATCCTCCCTCCCACAACTCCTCCCAAATGCCTACCTTTCCTGCCCACCCAACTTTATTCTCAATTTTTTTTCTTAAAACCATCAAGTCCAACTTGTGCTGACACATTCTTGGCTATGGAACCCATCCACTTGAGCATGGCCAACCTACGCTTACACCCATTTATTGATTTTTCAGTTTTTTCTTGAGAATTTCATATATGAGTATACTGTGTTTATATCATTTCCATCCCTCTCCCCATCAAATTCTTCCTCACAGCGAATTGCTCTCAGATTCATTTCCGCTTCTTCTAAAATTATTGCTACCTACTTGTAAACAATTGGCCGAATCCACTGAGTGTTGCTATATGCTCAACCACTAGGGACTAGATAACCTATCAACAATCTACTGAGGTCGCTGAGGTGGTGTTGCTATATGTCCATGTGTTTGTGGGATCAATCACTAGGGACTAGATAACTCATCAGGGGATTAGTTCCTGGAAAGAACCAGTTCTGCCTCTCTGCAGCTGTTGATTGATGTAGTTCTGCATCTAGGGGTGGGGCCTCATGAAATTTCCTTCATCCTTATTGTCATGTCTACTGGTGGGGTCATCTTCCTTGTAGGCCTTGTTTAGGCAACCATGTTTGTTAAGATTTCATGGGTGCAGCTTCTCTGCTTCCCTATAAAACAGGGTCTCACATCAGGCATCCTGTTTCTCTGGATCATAAAATTTTCCCCCCCTGTGCTCCATGAGAATTTGGTATAGCAGTTATGGTATAGATAGGTAAATTGGGGGTGGCTTGCATACTCTGCATTTTGCCCAGTTAGTAGATCTCTATAGTAGCCTCAGTCTGCTGTCAAAAAAGGTTTCTTTGATGAGGGGTAGGAGTTCCACTTATCTCTGGGTATAAGTCTTTAGAATACAGTTAAAAGTTACATTGATTTAGGATAAGGGAGTAGTAGATTGTCCACTAGGGTCTGTGACATCTCCAGACATGTGTAGGTGGCAGGTTTGCAATACAATCATAGGTTCCATCATAATGAGTAGGCCTTAATTCAAATTAGACAGCTGTTTGATACTTCTAAGATGTAAATACCACTGTTGCACCATTAGGAATATTTTGCTTGGCTAGTCATTGCAGTTATGTGGGGTTTTTTGTTTGTTTCTTGAGAAAGGATGTAGCCTTGGCTGTCCTAGAACTCACTCTGTAAACCAGGCTGGCCTCAGAACTCACAGAATCCACCTGCCTCTGCTTTGGAGTGCTTGGATTAAAGACAGCACTTGAAGCAGTTCTTGAAGCAAAGTCAACAGTATTTGTCTACTGGTGCTCTAGGAAATGAGAATACACATTCAGACTTTCACAGATGATGGGGCCTTGAACAGAGATAATGAATCAAAGAAATAAAGCACGTTTTGAGTATAAAAATGTGTTTGCTTCTGTAATGTTAAATTGAAGTGTCTACAGAATATCCAGCCAGAGATGTCTAGTGGGAAGTTGACCACACTGACCAAAAACTCAGGAAAGGGAACTAAAGAAATGGCCTTGGACACAGTAGGGTCTGGATGTAAATAAAAAGATATAGCATGTAAGGAAATGAGCATAAGATACAAGATGCTTTCCAAAAGGCCAAAAAAATGCATAGTGGGTATTTATGACCTGAAGCACTGGTAGAAGAAACATGATCTCTGCTGTCTTAAGATTAGAGTACCACTGGGTTTAGACACTTGATTCTCAAGCTGATGATGTCATAAGCAGTATGGAAAGACAATAATGAACCAAATGAGTACAGGTAAACAGACTGCCAGATGTCACCAAAGCCTGGCAAGAGCTAGAGATCATACCTTCATTATCATAGTAATTATACAGTTGATCAATTCCTCTCAGAGTCTGCCTCCTGGGTGCAGAAGGATGACAAGCAGTTGGCTTGATCAGGTTCACCTACAAGCTGAAGAAATGTATCATGAGCAAAGAAGACATTGTAGACTGTGGTCTATGTGGTTGGGTGTAAATGAAGCATAAATAAAACATAAAAGTCATGTATGGGAAGAGACTGAAGGAAAACAAAAAAACAAGGGTCAGAAAGCCCACTGAGAAGCAAAAAAAGATCTTCAAGGATGGTAGAGTGTAACTAAAGGTGGTTTATTTAGAACCTGAGAATTCCTTGGAACTTCAGAATTTAGAATCTGGAGTCTGGGTGTGACTTGGAAGAGTAGTGGATGCAATGGAGGCTAAAGGAGCAAGTAGAAGTTAGACCTTAGACACAGAGGAACCCATCATGTTACTCTCCATATCCTGATGATGTTAGCCAGCCATGGGAGGGCAAATGAAGATCAAAACCAGGGAATTCAGTGAGTGGCTGTTAGCAAGTAGGTAACAGTAACACAGACGAGACGGGATGGTATGTGCAGTTCATAGCAATGGGGAAGTTCGGTGAGGTGTGGGAGCTATAATGAGGGTAATGAGAACACCAGACTGATTCTGAGGAGTCCTTCCTAAGGCTGGCAGAGTCTGAGCTGGGACCAGTGGAATGCCCTGGAAGACATGTACCTTGAAAAGGAAGAAGGAGCCACCAGGTTATTGTGAAAACAGTGAGCAGGGTAGAAGGAATCTTGTAAATACTAAAAAAAATACTAAAAAAAAGTGTAAATTGAGAAGGAATGTAAAATTAAGAAGTATTGTAAATTAACAAGTACAGTACTATTCGGGAGTGGTGATGCATGTCTACAATCCCAGCACTTAGGAGGCAGAGGCAGGAGAATCAGAAGTTTGTGACTATCTTCAGCAACACAGCAAATCTGCAGCCAGACTGGGCTCTATGAGATCCTATCTCAATAACCACCAGCAAAAGACAAAAGCAAAAACAAAACAGACATCAATTTAGCATAAGGAATGTATTTGATCTGACGGTTTTAATGCAGAAACGTAGATGTATACTGTTAAGATTTCAGTCATTATAAAATTAATATTGGTGCACCAGAATAATTGTTTTATTTAAGGGTGATACAGGCTTATTTTATTATACCTTATGCCTTAGAAGATTGCTGTTACTTTATGTTTTATTTAAGGTACCAAAGTTAATGTTTGCATGTATGTGTTTTTTCTTTTTAAACAGATTCTTGATCAAGTACCTACTCCATGGATCCAGGACAGGTTCATCCCATGGCCTGCTCTGAACAGGATACAGTCTGATAGAAGATTCCATCGGCAAACCATCTCTTGCCTTACGGAACAAGCAGAGAAGATGGACCTACTGAAGAACCATCTGACTGTGTGCTTACCACCTTCTGTGCCCTTTTTAATCCTAGTATCCACTCTGGCAACTGCTAAGAGTGTGACCAACAGCACTTTAAATGGCACTGACGAGGAATTGGGCTCTGTGCCTGTAATCATTGCCAAAATGGACCATATCATAGTCAAGGAGGGGAACAGTGCCTTGATTAACTGCAGTGTTCATGGCGTCCCTGACCTATCATTTAAGTGGTTTAATTCTGTTGGCAAACTGCTGAAAGAAGGCGACGATGACAAGGAGAGAGGAGGAGGTAGGTGTTGTAATTTAAGAAAAGTGACCCACATAAGAGAGAGACACCATGTAACAGGGTTCAAACAAATGTGCTCTTAGTGGCTGCAGCTGAGGGCGTATCCTGTCAGAACCCCAAGGACAGGCCAGTGCAGATGCCTGAATACTAACAGTAGGTTTCAAAGTCCTGTCTGTTGTCATAAATTATAAACAGGGACTTAAAAACCCATACGCTAATGTTAGTTGTCCTCATCCAGGTCACTCAAACTTCCTTTCTGTCTTTTGCAAAGGCATAAGAAAAACCATATCCTCTTAAGGTCTCAAGGAGTAATTAATTCATTTTTTCCCATTCTTTGTCTTGGAAGACAAAGGGCAAACAGTGATGTGTTTGGAAATGCCTCTTAGAGCGTTATGCTATTAATGTACTCAAGACATTCTAGAGCTTATGGTATATTCCCTAAGTATATGTTCCATTTATAAAACATGTGTTTCGTGTCCTGGGATTGGTTCCAATAAGCAGTGGAGCAGTTGTGTGTCATTAAATGTCAGTTTAACATATTTACTGTGGATTTACCAACTAGCCTTCCTAAAGAAATGTCTACACAAACTCTCAGCCACCTGCAGAGCCCATTCCATGCTCCTGACCTGGCTAAAGTCAGGGGTGAGAAGGAGCCTGGGATTCTGGGGCAGCAGGTGAGACACTGGCATTTAGTGAAGGAATTTTTTTACTAAAAGGTATGAATCCTCTTCTGAAGCCCTGAGCTTCCTTCTCCAGAAACTGCATGCAGAGACAGGCTTTGAGAATCTCCTCTTCTTGCTAAAGATGTGTGAGGTAACTGTGTGACAATCCAGGCATGCTCTGAGCGGTGCGAAGGACTTAATCTGCTGGGCTTGCTCTTGACTATAATGAAGTAGGGCACTGGAGGCAGGAGAATATGAAGCAGCCCCCTTCCCTCCCTCCTTTGCATTACCCTCCCCACTCCTTAGCCCTCCAACCAATGAACAATCCTCCAAAGAGTTTCTGCTCCAGAAAAAAAAAAACCCTACATACTTAATCTCTTCCCCTCGTGTTATCTTAATTGCTTTGCAAACAGAGAAAGTCAAATGCTTTGCATTTGCTTAGGAGGTTCTTACACACTTCTCTTTCACAGTTTTGTTCCCAGTGGGGAAGGCTGCTAGAAGTCCAACTGCCTGGAACGTGTTCCCTGGCTGTCATGCTACTGCTGATATTATTTTGCTTAGCATGACTACACTGTATAGTATAGCCACTTCCCTTCAATCAAAATATTATATATTATAAATCATATGTGTGTTTAACCCAAGCAAAGGATAGTTATTCCCCCAACAACTCAAATCGCGCTGTCATGGGAATTCTAACGTAGAGTGGACTTTCCACACATAACAGTTTCCTTTATGGAAATCTGTCTGAGGTCCTGCTGTCAGTTAAGTGCTTGTGACTAGACCCTTTACTGCTGACAGTGGAGAAATGAGAAACACGACTCCGTTCCACAACCGTAAGTCAAAAGGATGACATCACAGTAGGGAAGGGAGGACAGTGCCATGGTGACACACATGCAGACCTTAGCAGGTCTTTCTGCAGGGCTGAACTGAGAGGATCAAGAACCCTAGACTCGCATCCACCTCTCACACGGACCCGGAAGCGAGGGTCACGCCTGGGTGTTTAAAGATGAGTCCTCGAGAGGAAGAAAACTATGGCAACAATGTGACGCCGGAGTCTGAATTTCAGTGACATCATTTTGAATGTTATTCTAAAGTTGTACCCTCCTGCTTCAGAGAGATACACAATGCCTTCACTGAGAAAGTCTTTGGAAGCGTGGAGTCAGTCTCTGCAAGCAGACACGCAGGCTTGCCTTCTTCATCAGTAAAAGGTGGCTGGGATGTACTAGAAGGTGCTTGTATTTGCTTTCGTTTTATTTTGCTTGTGGAAGCTCAAGTGGCCCTATTAGAATACTCCGTCCGTAGACTTGCTCAAGTGGCCCTATTAGAATACTCCGTCCATAGACTCCACTCCACCAGCAGCCTGAGAATTGCAGCATCAGAATCCACAGCTCACATCCTCTCTGTAGACTTGCCGATAAATCAGTTAGCTGTTTTACATAACGTCAAAGGAGATGCATTTTTCAATTTCTAAAAAGAACACATGATACCAGGACTTGATGTCCCAGCTCAGCTTTTGTAATTGCAGTGCGTGACAATAGTCATCTCAGAGCGTAAGTCACATGGGGAAATGTAGCATGAGTTAAGGTTTCTGTTTTCAAGCCAGAAGTTTAAAACAAGCAATATCCATTTGCAACTGAACAAAGGGTGAGGGAATCACATAATACACGGGGACTGCTTAAGGCAAATGAATGGACTTCAGATTATCTTCATTAACAACTATTGCACATCAGCCTGTGATATGTGTAACTTCTAATCATTGTGATAAGCGGATAAGTGAGGTGTTATCTATCCTCATGGATGCAGCAGAAGTCATGGGGCTGGAAAAGACATTATGCAAATGTTACATCATGCAAAGACAGTTGGAATTGCTTTGTCTGCGTCAGACCGATGTCTGCTAACCTCAAGGTTTCAACGGATGAGAAATACATGGAGCATCTTAACACAGCTGGAGTGAGTGGGAAGAATTCCTTCATGGAAGAGGCTTTTTAGCCACTATCATCCTAGTGAGAGTCAAGATTTTTGCCGCAGGGTGCATGTTGTCATGCATGTGTCACACATGCGTTCAAAGTCATAGGTCAGTTTGCTCACAGGAGCTGATTACCATTGAGTTCAGGGTTAGCCTGGAAAGAAACAATTTCATATCTTGTTTATGCTGGAAAAGTGAGATAGCTCTTCTGCATGGTGGCCCCACCTGTGCTAGGAAGAATGGGGACACTGCGGGTCCTGATAGTCGCAGCTGCTGGCTTGTATGGCTTTCCTGATTTTCCTCAGTTCATTCCCACGGGATCAGGGAAGCATCATATGTAATCCATACGGCTTTGAAATTCACTAAAAGAGTGTTTCGGATGGTCCCACCAACCGTGTTCCAGAACTCATTCAGAATTCAGGCATGCAGGAGTGCAAACAGACAGAAGTGCACTGTTTTCAGTTTTCCTTCTGTCGACTTGTCTGGGAAGTGTTATGAAAAGTCCCCAGTTATTGCAGACACACTAATTATCACATTATTTCATGGTGCTTTCTTATTGCAATGTTAAAATGTTTAAATTCACCTTAGTACCTCCATCCGAGAAGTAACAAGCGTTTCAAGAAAGTTGACTATTGCAAGACCCTGGCTGTTGGAGATGACGAATTCTCCCTTTAAAGCCCTTTCCTTAAAATGTACTTTTGGTGTGGAAATGTTTTGCACATGATTCTGTCTCCAAAAACAATTAAAAATTGTCTTGACTTGACCATGCAGGAGAAAACTGGCCAGAGCTGTCTTTACATTGCTCCACTATTCCACAGATTCTTTTAATAGACTGGGAATGCCAGTTCTGCAGAGGGAAGTCAGCCAGGTTTCCAAAGTACCATTTTGTTCCTCTTTGCTTTATCAAACACACATGAACACATTCATGCACACGCACAGAAGCACACAGGCATGCACACACACACACACACATACATGAACAGGCATACATATGTATGCACAAATATACACACATGTTCACCCATGCTACATACAATGTATAGGGAACATTAGGGAACCAGTTCTCACAGTATTAAATTTAAATCACTCTTTACTGTCAGTGTAAAGCAGGAAATCTATAAAAACCTCCACAGATTCCTCATTTAGTACATTAAATGCTTGAGAATCTAAGAATACTCCCAAAGGCATTAAACCTTTATGCAATTGCAGTGGCGAGTTCTTCTAAGCCCCTGTTTTCTCTTCTGTAAACCAGAGAGAATCTTTCTTTACTACCAAGATAACTTGCAAGTCTTAAATAAACACTTGTCTGTTGAATGCTTGGCATGGTACCTAGAACTTACCAAGCTCACAGTAAATGACAGCTGCTATTTTTGTTAGTATTCTATTCTGTCCTCACAAAAGTATATTTGAAGTGCTAAAATCCCCATTTCCTAATATAGTCTTATAACACAAAGAATATTTGGATAATTTCTCTTTTTTTTGTTTTTGTTTTCAACCTCAAAAAATTGCTCTTTGGTGAGATGGTTCAGCGGTTAAATGCACTGACTGCTCTTACAAGAGGCTATATTAGATTCCCAGCACCCACACAGTGGCTTTCAAACATCATAACTCTACTTCCAGAGGATCCAATGCCCTTTGGTATTTTCTGCATGCACTAGGCATCCACGAGGTACATGTACATACATGCAGGCACAACACTCACACACTTTAACAAAACTAAACGACCCTTTTGGCCAGCAAGGCAGCACAGTCTATAAAAGCACTTGTCTTGCAAACCAGACAGCTTGAGTTTGAGACTCTGAAACCCAAAGTGGAAGCAGATAGAACCAACTCAAGGATGTCTTCTCTGACCTCCACACATGCCCCGTGACACATCCACTAATAATAACCGTATTTTTTCAGTACGTGCAAAAAATTAGCATTCCCTTAAATGCTATTTGAAATTTCATATTATTTCAAAATAATCTTCAGGCAACATAGCAGCCGTTGACTTTTGTGTACATGGGACGTTTGATGCCTGATGCTCTCCTCCTGCTACACCCAAAATATCTGGAAATTACCACGTATATTCTGTGCAGAGTAAACTTTCCATTTAGATTTTATGTGTATAGCTGTTCAAGTCCTACCACTGCCAAGAGTCCATGTGGCCAATTCTGAGACAAGTTTGCTTCTCATAACTGGGATCTATAGGGGAGCCCCACTGTCATTGTCTAATAAACAAGACTCAAGGATGCTGCTAAAAAGCCTACACCTAACAGCATAGGTCTCACAACAAAACAGAATCACCCAGATCCACAGGCCACCGTGCCACTATTGGTCTTACCCAAAGAGATACACACACACACACACACACACACACACACACACACACACACACACACTAAAGAAACCTTCTGAAGTTGATCTTTGAGTCAGGTCTTCAAACCCTTAATATATTTTTCTCCAAAAAAGCACATCAGTTAATGGTATTTAGGTTCATTTTCAAGATTGGTCCACATTAAAGTTAACCACCACCATTTGCATGTTTCTTTAGTGAATTGTGCTTCATTTGGGATGTAAGCCCGGACAGCTACAGTCTTAGCCATGAGGAGACTCTTTCAGATCCATCTAACATAAGAATGACAGCTGAGATTCCCCCAAGTGGAAGTCACTTTTACGAAGCAAGTGTATTGTGCTCCTGCATTGGATGACTGGGTGTAGCTACTCTCAGAAAAGCCTGTGGGGAGCATGCATTGAATGACATGCACAGCACTTTTGTTAAAAATCAAGATTATCATATCAAATTAGCAAGAGGATCGGGGGTTTTTCCCCCTTTGCCAGGATATAAAGGCAGCAGACTTTTTTTCAGATGTTTACTCCTCTCAGCAGAACAGAAGAGCAGGCTTGAACAGCCAAACCCTTCCATCCACCCAACCTCCCTGCACCGAAAGCTGAGCTCTCATCCCAAGCCACCATTGCTCCTTGCCATGCTGGTTAGAACTGACCCAGCACTCTCTGAAGAGGACACTTAAGGAAGATTGAGGGGTGGGGATAAGAGCACCAGAGGGTTTGCAGCTTGCAGAGTTTGTATCTCGACTCATAGTGCCTTCAAGGGTCTGTCATCTGTCACAGAAGCCTTGGAACAGATGCAGCCATGCAGCGCTAAATTTGTTTTCAATTATATTTTGTAGAGAGGCATGGGATCCTTTCTTCTAGGCAGTCTGGATTTCACACAGCAGAAAACAAGTGTCACATTTATAGGCACAAACGCAGGCATTGTATGCTCCCTTGCAGTGTCAGTGTAATGTGATTCTCATTCAAAAGGCTGTCTTCTTATGTTTGCATAAGCGTGCGTTTGCATGCTCACCACCTGATCATTTTCATGTAGATTGGTTTCAAAAAACAGCATGCTAATTTTGTCAGATTGAACCCTCCTCCTTGCAAGGTGGGGGTGGGTGAAGCTTAAGAGAACAGGTACCCAGGGAGACTGGGAGCAGAGTTTTAATCGGTTTGCCCTACTTCCTGGGGATAGAGAGGAGCCTCATGTCAGCTGGCCCGTGCCTACTTTCAGAGTGAAGCTGCTGAGGAAGAAACTCTTCTTCCTTCAGATACATAACCTATGGACAGTCTGAGAGCATAGTGTCTCTCTTTAATGCTCAGCCTTGGGGGAAGCAGGAAAGCTGTGGGACTGGTGTTTGGGCATTAGCTGTGGGTGGAGGACCTTGGCTGTGACCCACCCACTGGATCTTCATAGGTGACATCCTCACTTCCCTTGTTGATGGTGTTCATTTCCATGCAGTAACAATTTGACCAGAAGTTGCCTGCGGAAGTGCCGGATGGTTTGATGGTGCCATGTGTTGGTTTCGGATTGAGTCATGATAGGTAGTGCCTGTATTGTAGGGTTCCTTGTGCTTACAGGTTTAACTCCAGTCACACAGTTCTGTTGCTCTCATTGCCAGAAAAGAAGGTCTACTGTCCTACTGGTGTGACACTGTGATGTAACTCATGCGCAGGCCTTCGTGCCAGGATCATGGTCCTAGGCCCATCACCTTCCTGCCTTGGAACCAAGTTGTAGCTTCTCCTAGAGACAGCTAAAAAGGAAGGAGGAGAATTCTAGGAGGAGATGTAATCTGAGCAGGATATATTATTATTAGTATTATTATTATTATTATTATGAATTTTTTCATTGCCTTGATTTTTTTTGTCACATTCATTAATGTTTACCCTTTGGTCAAGGGGCTTGCCTTATCTGATACATGTCAAGAAGTCTAGAGGAAGATGATGCATCCAAAAGCTTATCCAACCAGTTTAGCCTACCTGCCATGTGGGGAATGTCCTTCCCCACATTCTGAGCAATGAAATTTACAGTCATTGCCCCCCTTTATTTTGGCAACAGGAAAAGTGAAAGTTAATGTTTTAAAACAAGGCTTTGATCCCTTTAAGTTTAATGATGATTTATTTAGTCAGTCCTGGCCAGAGAACTCAGACACTACTTCTGGGCCTTGTTTCTTATAAATTGTTTATATATATATAAACAATTTATAAGAATTATAATATATATATATATTTCCTTATTCTTCTTTTAGATTTTGTCTTAACTCATAAGGGTTTTTTGTTGTTTATTTGGGGTTTTTATTGTGTCATTTTGTTTCAGTTGTCTCAAAAGCATTTGTCAAATATTCTAGAATTTTCTCTCAGTCTATAACTTCCTTCTAACTTTTCTGATATAAGTTTTTATGACTCAAAATATGTTCATTTGGTGGAAAATGTAATCCACCAACATTTTCCTTTATAGTTTCTGAAATTCTTTAAAAAGCCTAGAAAGGGCCTCTCTTCCCCCCAGGTTACAAAAGTTTTATGTCCTCAATTAATTTCAAAATTTTAATTTTATGTCTTAAGAATGCTGGAATGGATTTTTATTTATTACATAAAACAGATTTACATGCCGTCTTTCCCATGTCCAGTCAGCCCAAAGGACTTTCTCCACTGATCTGAAATGCCTGCTTACTCACTCCTAAATCTCTTAGTTCTTTCTAATCTGGATTTTCTGATTTCCATCTCTGACTCACTCAGGGTTAGAGATGACCATTTAAAACATGAGACGGGCCATGAGGGTGAAGTCAGGCAGGGGACTCCAGAGTGAGGAGAGCTGTGGTCTCGGCAGAGAGAAAGTGATAGGAAGATTCTGTTAGAAGAAATGTGCACATTGTGTCTGGAAAAGTCAGTTAAAATGAGACCCAAAAGCTGAGAGGGCCCGGTGCTCTTCCTCTGCTGTGTGTTAGTCAGGAGGCCCCTGCACGCTGGCCTGGATTCCTTTCAAGCCTGTCTCCATCCGTGCCCTGCGATTTTATACATGTTTGTCAGCTCAGCAGCTCACGCTGTGTTGTCTCTTGCTTCCTGCACCACCCCCCACTGGCCCTAAGAGTCTCCTCTCTGTTCTTTCATCCCTCTTCCCACCTGCTGCCCTCCCCTCCTCCACACGCCATTGCACTTGGCACGCAGGACTAGAGCTGACTGTCTGTTGGAGTCTTGTCCCCACGGGGACTGGCTGATTTTTGTAGTCAGGAATCTGTGTCTTACTCATCTTTGTATTCTCATCATCTAGTATGGTGCCTGGTACACAGACAATTTATTCAATGCTATCTGTTGACTGAATGGGTGTGCGAGCTAACAGAGATGGCTGCCCTTCTGAAAATGTCAGCCTTGTTGTGGGGCCCAGCACACAGCCTGCCGCACAGCTCAAAGCCCACATCCCTTCGCTCTTCTGTTTGCAAAGGAGAGGTTGTCACAACGCAGTTCATTCACATGGGAGAGATGTGTCCGCGTGCCTCGAGTTCCTGGGGGAAGACAGTGGCAGCTTGCTAGGTGGCCACTACTCTGCGATAATGAATGTGTCTGTGTCTTAGCCCGAGGCCTCAGAGATGCTGTCGCTTTGCAAAGCAGCACAGGGAAGAAAGAGTGGAGAGAAGGAATTTGGAATGTGAAGGTAGGGGCTACAACCCGAGCAAGATGCAGAAAGTGGGTAAGAGGAGGAACGCAAATGAGTGCCGGGAAAAGCTTGCCATTCGGCCTCGTGGCATTTTCAGCAGGTAAAGTAGTCATTAACAGCCCGCCCCTTTTATTGCCTTCCAAAGCACTACTGGCCGAGCTGTCTTGGCTTCAACTGCTGACACTTCAGGTTTTTGTTCGCACTGAAGTGCTCCAGCTTCATGAAAATTCAGCGCGTCGCCCTGACGTTCCTACCAGCTACAGTTGAAACCACTCAGCAGCAGCCTGCTTCATATTCATAGCAATGACAATTTCCTGTGACCGGCACTGTGGGTGTTCTTACATCTTTCAATGTCCCACAGCCAATGTTGGGAGCCTTCCAGGATAGATCTCAGGGAAGGGCATTCTCACAGGCATAGGTGGATAGACCCTTATAGCACAGACAGGATGCACCCCATGTTTCCACGGGGGCGGAGGGAGGTATACCCTGTGGAGATGTTTCTTGAGCCTAGACCAACCTGATGGTTGAAAACCACCAAGCATAATTCATGGCATCTTCCTGGTTTTCAGGTCTCTCTGTGTTAATAGATCATGTACATATCTATTTTCCACTAATGAGAAGGGAAAAGAGTGAACTTAGCAGCCAAGGGAAAGAAACAGATACAGATAAACCTAGCCTTTGAGATCAGAGGATCAGAACTTCAGTCCATCTGACATGGAAGGTGTGCGTGCGTGCGTGGGTGTTTATAGGTTTCTACTATTCTGACTTGCTTTGCAGTCTGGTAACAGAGTGTTAATCTAGATCATGTGTTCATTTTAATGTACGACACATGGGCAGAACCCTGAGTTTCAATGATATTAGTGAAAGCCATAAAACAAACATGCTGTTGGTTTCAAGAACTGAATTGATGTGTCATTGTCCTCCTAGGCTGGAAAAAAAAATCGCTGGCAGAGGGTGGTAATCTGTTATTTAACTAAAATGGTGGTTTAAAAAAACTACTTGAGGATCATAGTATATGTATTTATATATTTGTTTTGCCTTACAGTTAAGTCACAATATTCACTTCACACATAGGTGTTTAGGCTTCAAACTTTAAAAGCAAAACAAGAGATGGCTCAGCAGGTAAGGGGATTCACTGCTCTTGCAACCCAGGCTTGGTTCCCAGCACCCACACTATGGCTCACAGCCATCTGTAACTCCAGTTCCACGGCCCTCAACCCCCTTTCTGGCCTCCTTGTGCTCAGGCATGCGCACTGGACATATAAACTTATACAGTTTCATACACCTATACATGAATAAAAAGCTTTTTGTAAAAAGTAAATGAGATTTTTTTTTGTGCTAGAGAAAGCGTTTAAGAGACATTAGTTTAAGGAATTATAGTTCTGAGCTAGGAACCATAATTTATTTGTAAGTAATCACTTGTCTGCTAAAAGGCCAGTTTCCCAGGATGAACTTCAGTTATCAATCAGTACACCAACTTGTATTTTACACCACGGTGTGTGCCTTTTGTCAACACAGTAAGACACTTTCAAAGTGTCTGCATGTCTGACTTTAACTGCTTGGCCTCAAGTTAGACAAGCGGGAGTCGATAGAAAATTTAACGTATGTCTAGGATAAGTATAAAGGTCAAATTCACTGGAGGCAAACACCTGTTCCTTGTAGCTAATGTGTGTTTTTTCATTTTCTTTTTCTGTGACAGTGGGTAGTATTCAAGCATGGGGAGAAAGCTTCTGTCCCTATTTGATGTTCTCCTGAGTTCTTGTTTCCCAAGTGCACACCGTTCCAGCCTTGGGTTTATAATAGTTTCTCAGGTAATGGGTGGAGCAAGGCATTGGACTGCAGAGAACCAAATTCTTGTTTCTCCCTCTCTTCCATCCTATCCTATTTCCAGCAGAAGGAAGGCAGGTATGAGAACACTTTCCAAGGCTAGTCTCTGAAACCCAGAACCTTCCACGTAGAATAAACTGTACATCTATGGGGGTATTTCCCCCCATGCCTGCTGTAGTCTACATGAAACATGCACGTTATGAGAAAATAAACTGATAATGCGGTTTCCCTGGCCTCTTGTCATTGTATATGCAGCTAACTCTGCAGCAGAAGGATTAAAATTCATGCTCAGGGAATAAAGGCTTGCCTGAGCTGCATCGGAATGGAAATTATCACAGGCCACATGCTGGGTTTGTCTGTTCCCACACTTACTAGGAACTGAAATGGCTAGACTCTAAGTCAGAGCTTTCTACTCTTAGGGGAAGTACACTAGCCAGGTTGTCAGAGAGGGTTAGTGTAGGACACCAGGAATCACTCTTCACACGTGTTCTTCCAGAAGACAAAGAAATGTGACAGCACCTGAGTGGAGGCCTCCTGCCAGAGTTACAGCAGTGGGCAACGGGGAGGTGCTGTAACCCCAGGAAAGTACCGCATTGGTGCTTCTCACTGTTGGCTGAGAAGACATCAGGTCTTCACCTCATACAGCAGCCCATTGAGACCCCCAACGGTTTATGAGCTCTGAAACTGGGCAGTTCTGGGGCTTGAACTCAGGCCTTGTGAATGTGAGGCAAGTGCTCTGCCATTGGGAGTAATTGAGCTCCTCTGAGGCTCATCAAACTTTGAATTGCAAATAAGCCACTACCCTGTTGGGGAGAGACAGGCGATCTGGGCACATGGTTGTAATAGACACTAACACTTAAATGACCCCACCTCTCAGGGAGCTCCTCCGTTTGGCTCAGAGGGTAAGATGCCTTTTATGAAAAACTGCCCATTCCTTACAACTTCCAAGACACTTAGCTTGGAGTTTCATTGCTCTCTGGGAGACAATATAGATGGGTATTATGATTTAATTTCCAACTCTGATCCAATACTTGGAAACCAAACCTGGTATCCTATTTCACAGAAATCTTGAGAGCTGCAGGGATACAGGCCCAGAATTCATCCTATCCCACGGGATTTAGAACATCATTCCCAGGCTAGCATAAGGTCATGTTTCTCAAAGTGTCTTCTCCTTCTTGTAAGGCTTGTCATCATCCTGGTGGGCTTCATTTATTTTCAAGGCTAAAGCTAGTTGATATTAATTCATATCTGACTTCTGAATCGTCATTGTCAGCTTATAACCCATCACTGTCAGCTTATAACTCTAAGCAGTGTAGATAATTCACTGTGAACTCTCAAAAATGAATGACGTTATGTTTAGTTAGCTGAAGTCATAAAAGGATGATATCAGTCCTAAATGTGGGTCACCAAAGCAAGCAATTATGATTTAATTGATTTTTCTCCATGTTTTATGTTGAACCTAAAATGCCTTCCCTTCCAAGAGGTCTTAGACTCCCTGTGAGGTGTGTTCAGTGGAGTTCTGCTCATAGGCACGCTAGAAAAGCATGTGGTACGTTAAGGAACTCTTTCTTAAAAACACTACATTTTCCAGTGTACAAGGAACTGAAATTCCACACTATAGTGTGACATTAACAATGTAACCTTCTCTACTGTGGAAATGTAACCTTCTCTACTGAGTAAGTCCCACTCCTGGGGGGGGGCATTGCCTCTAGCAGGCCCAAATTCCAGTGAACCTCCACATCCATATGGACACAGACACCACTGACTGGATGGAGGAGATTATTAATGACAAAAACAAAAAGTGGGCTTGAAGTTGGGAGGGAGGGATATGGGGCAGTGGGACACTAGAGACTTGGGATGTGGCTCACTGGTAAAGCTCTTGTCTAGCATGTGTTTTGAGGCCTTGGGTTTGAACCCTGTGACCATGAAAAGAGGACTTGGGGAAGGAGAAGAATATACTTTCTCAAGTACAAACCCATGCTTTAGTTATATATACTATTTCTAAAAGAATAACCTTGGTAAAATTGCTCAAGGGTACCTCAGTTTTCTTACCCATCATATAGGACCAAAATCAGTGCTTCCTTAAAGTAGTCCAGAGGGGATGAAGGGGTTGGTGTCAGAAACACAGCAAGTGCATCTGTCACATGCCCGACGCCGTCATTAGTTATGAACCGTGTTTCTAGATAGGCATAAGAGTGTGTGTGGTCACAGAAACCCTGTACTCTTGACTGAACTGTCTTCCGTCCCTTCTGACAGGAAAATGGCAAATGCTGGATGGCGGCCTTCTGAACATCACCAAGGTGTCTTTCTCAGACAGAGGGAAGTACACATGTGTGGCATCCAACATCTATGGCACCGTAAACAACACGGTGACCCTGCGAGTCATCTTTACCTCTGGAGACATGGGCGTGTACTACATGGTAGTGTGCCTCGTGGCCTTCACCATCGTCATGATCCTCAACATCACCCGCCTGTGTATGATGAGCAGCCACCTGAAGAAGACTGAGAAGGCCATCAACGAGTTCTTTAGGACAGAAGGCGCCGAGAAGCTGCAGAAGGCGTTTGAGATCGCTAAGCGCATCCCCATTATCACCTCAGCCAAAACTCTAGAGCTTGCCAAAGTGACCCAGTTCAAAACCATGGAATTCGCCCGTTACATCGAAGAGCTTGCCAGAAGCGTGCCCCTGCCTCCCCTCATCATGAACTGTAGGACGATCATGGAGGAGATCATGGAAGTGGTCGGGCTTGAGGAGCAGGGGCAGAATTTTGTGAGGCATACCCCAGAGGGCCAGGAGGCCACAGATCGGGATGAGGTATACACCATCCCCAACTCTCTGAAGCGAAGTGAGTCCCCCACAGCCGACTCGGATGCCTCGTCATTGCATGAACAGCCTCAGCAGATTGCCATCAAGGTTTCAGTTCACCCCCAGTCCAGAAAGGATCATGGAGATGACCAAGAGGGTGGACATTTTGAGGTCAGAGATGAAGAGCAGACAGAACCCTCGGAGGAACATTCTCCAGAGACTGCAGAGCCTTCTACAGACATAACGACCACCGAGCTGACTTCTGAAGAGGCATCACCTGTAGAAATACCAGAACGAGGACTGCCACCAGCACACCTGGAAACGACAGAGCCAGCAGTGACATGTGACAAAAACACCTGCATTATTTATGAAAGCCATGTCTAATCTTAACCCCTTGAAACGCTATGCATATCAAGAAAATCAGGGGCTGCTCCTTGTAACACAAACGTAGTATGCACTTACCGCTAAGCCTTACCAGGAGACTCTCATCCCTTAGGTAGGAGTGATGCCCCGTGAAAGGGAAGACACCTGCATGGAGTTCATGTGACTTGACTCACCCCAGTAGGGAAAGACGTGAGAAGTGCTGGGGTACAGACCTGATAAGATGGGGCACAGGTCTGTCCGTGTGATCTGAATTATAGAGGCCATTCTCTGCAAGATCCCTTAATTGGTAATGCCCTTTTGGCCAAGAGTATACTACTGTAAGATGTTCTGAGTTCAGGATCCCTGTCTAATGCATAATGCATTGCTTTTCTTTTGAAAATTATAAGTCTGCTACAGTAGCAATTGCTCATACATGGGTTTGTTGCACTTTCTTCTTCTCAGTTTTAATTATTTTCACAGTTCTTTTATAATGGAGTAGTTGCTATTATATTAATATTAATTGCTCTTTCTGCTGGAGTATTCTGTGTCACCTTTGTCCTTATTTTTTTCTTAGTGTGTTTACCTCAGAGTCTTGGGTGTCGCTGATGTCTGTGTCATTTGGAATGCCCCAAAGTAATTACTACACTCCTTTTTCTTTTTCCTAATTTTCTCTTTAAAAAAAAAAGATACCCTCCCACCTGTGTTCATACACTTTTTGTTTCCAATGAGGCTGCTATTGTGAAACTGAGAAAAACTTAGCCCCCAAATAGCACTTTAACAGTCAAATAAAAACGTTTCCCTGTCCAGTTAGGTGAGCTCAGCTTGAGGTGAGAAGCAATATTATAATTGGTTAGATAGACCCACGGCACTCAAGAAAATGGTTTACATGAAAGTGCCCTCACCCTCCAAACGATGGCAGGTTCTTCACCTGGAAGACTTAGCGCTTCCAAAGACAGAGGCATTTGGTGAATTCCTGTAAGTACAGCATGCCTACTTCCCAGAAGGCCTTGCAGGGCCCATAAGGTGCTGCTCAGGTCAGCCCTAAACTTAGGGCAGCATCTATCAGCTCTGTAAAGAGCATAACTGGGTCCCCTTTAGACTGCATACTTAACTTGTTAATCATTGAAAGGGAGCTTGCAAAATTAGGATAATGACATAAAGGGTTTTATCCTGAAATGATTGAATTCTCTGTCAAGGCAGCTTGATATAGAGAACAAAGACAATCCAGCCATCCATAGGTTTAATTCTTGACAGTGCCAATAACCAGCTGCCAGGTTTTTGCAAATCTGGTCCTTGGTTTACCTCGCTGTAGGAAAGGGCCAACTGGCATGAACTCTGAGAGCTGTTCTTTGTCAAAGGCATCACATTCAGAGAAAGAACCCAGTATCAAAACGTTTTTGTGTGTGCCTTTTTTCACAATTGTTTTAAAGATATTTTTTGCTTTCGTCTCTGGGTTCCCATGCTATTTTTAATGCTCTTTTACCTACTTAAATGAAAGGGATCACAGCATTTTCAACAAATTCTGGAAATTTTCTCCCTACAAGTAAATTATGTGGCCCATTACTAAAATTTAGATATAACCTTGGTAGGAATGTATTTTCAAATACAAACAAAGGAGACTGAAAAGTTTTATTCCCAGCTCTTAGAATATACACATTCCATTACAGTCATGGAGTTTGACAAATGATTCCTTTTGACATATATACCCAGAGGAACAGCAGGGACTGATTAGTGGATGTCCTGTGATGCTATGTGAACTCTATTCTACTCAGTTCTCATTCCATCCAAGCCCCTGTGCCAACTTCCCCATGAAAACTGGAGGGTAAAGTATTCACGCTCTATAGTTACTGATTAATAAGCTAAAGTAGGCAGATTTCTCTTTGACGCAAGAGCTGAAATATATGACCAAAGAATGTCCCCACACTGATTTTGATTCTTTAGACTGAAGTGGGATAGAGAATAAGTGGATGATTTTCAAACTTCCCTCCTTAAGGTATCAAATGTTCTCAATATAACAATATCCAACCTTAAAGGGAACTTGGCTTGATACAGAATTTGTCCATCCAGAAATTCTATGCTCTTGCTGCCCCTCCAGAGAACCTTACAAAATGAGAACGGCCTCTTTTTAGAATATGAAATGTGGAAGACCTCATAACACTTGGCTGATAGTATCCCCCAAAAATGAACCATTCAGGTTCTTAGGATCATTTGTGGAGTCCTGTTGAACACCCATGAATACAGGCCCGGGCACAATGGACTCATTTTAGCAAGTTTAAAAGCTCAACACTCAATCCCAACCTATGTATGTCCTTTGGGTCTTCTATAGTCATTCTTTTAAAAAAAAATCAAACAATTTCTGGTTTCAGAGTCATCCTGGTCATACCTCTAGCAGTTTCTTGAAATTCTGAAAATGATTCACATAAATATGCATATTTAATTCTCTTAGATGATCTACAAGCTTGGGTGGTATTTATTCTAAATGGGAAAAATACCTAAAATTTTATATGGGGAAAAAGCTATGTAATTTATAATGTTTTGTTTTATATATTTATATTTTCATATCTTTAGGATACATCTGTTGCTCTCATCTTTTTGTACATCACAGTTGGCAAAAAGAAATGCTAATACTTGACTAAAATCTCTAGGAACCAAATGTGATACATGTGATACATAATGTATATAACTTGCTCTAGAAATATCTGAATGTTCTCACCCATGCCAAGCTTTGTTGCGTCATGTCATTGTGACCCAAAAGTCTGGGGTGCTCATGAACATTACCGTTTCACCAGGAAGACTGAAAGGGCTGATATCCCACAGGATGGATTTTGGAATATCTTTTCCTTCTTTATCTTGTTTGTTTTTTCCTCAACTGGACACGCCCTTCTGAAGGGCGAGCAGGAGATGGTGAGAAAGCAACGCGAATGAATCTCGTTATGGCTGTGTAAACCACGTTAACAGACTGAGGACATGTGCTAAATCCCATGCCTGGGTTGTCATTCACTGGTGACATGCTGGTGAGGTAGCATCCGCTTAGTTCTCTTGCACACAAAGTGTAGGGCATGAAGAGTGCTTGCATGTTTTGAATAGGCACAGTGGAAACTTAGTGTGGCCTCTATTGGTGACTATGGGAACACCCATCTGGCACTGGAAGAAATGTTTTAAAAAAATAAGTCAGCTCTCTTTTCTTACATGGTTTGAAGGAGAATGTTTATTGTGTGTTAGAATCCTTTAATGGCACCCCCAGTGGTTAGCTTAACTGGGGGTTTCCATGTTTTCCTTTGGTAAGAAGTGGAACATTAAAGTCTATTTCAAACACTATTTTCTCAGCCCATTCAACGGCTGTCCTTCACATATCTTCACGAAACTTCTCACCAACCTCTCTAAGTTATCCCAGTTCCTATTGTTGCTCCTTAAACACTTCCTAAAACTCTTCAAATACCAACCAGACATCACTATGTATTCACACACACAGCTTTGAGCATCTGTTAAAGCTAAGATATCAATTTTACATTTCACCGATAAAGCCTTCAAACCAATAACAAAGTTCATTTTCTTAATGGCCTTTTTATGATTTCTTCAGAGATTAACAGGTTTTGATGAAACAAATCATTTGTGGGCAAAATAATCAAATAGAATTACTTGTATTTTTCCACAAGACAGTGTTTGATGATTATACAAGAAAATCTCATGTGAGAAGGATGCTCTTTCAATGACTGTTTTTTTCTTAGAAATGCAAATGTAAAGGGGCTAACACTGAGAATGCTACAATCATTAAAGACAGAATAAAACCAGAAAGGAAGTCATTCTAAGAACATTATAGAATAAATTTTATTATTTAACCAATTATAAAAGCCTCAAAATGTATCTTTCTAATATTACAGAACCATGACCAGTGAGTTGTTTCGGAGAATGTGTTTGCATCTATTTCTGATTTCCTATGCATCTCTAGTCCTGAACATCCTTTGTTAGACTGGAAATGAGATGAAAAAAATGTATCAGGAAGAAATATGAAATAATTTAAAGATATAAACAAATGACTAAGATATCACTGTAGTAAAAAAGAAAACATAATGTGTGATCCATCCTGTAGTCTGATTGTTGCTTTAATAAAGGGTTTACACAGATGTGCAGATTGGATTGTGTGTCATGTCCCATTTGAAGGGTACTTAATTGTGGTATGATTCACTCCTTGCATGTGATATGAAAATATGGAATCTGTGCCCAAAATCATTTCCCCACTGTTTTTTTTTTTTGCACCTGCAGCATTTCTTGGGAAAAGAAAAAAAACATTAATTTTTATCCTAGTTTAGAGCCCTATGAGCTATGTTGACAAACTTTACAGAGCAGATTATATTGAATAAGTTTTAGCCATAACATCAAGCAGAGAATCCTTCTGGAATTAATTTTGAACTAGGAAACTCAAGCATAGCCCAGGAAGAATGCATCATAGCTGAAATTCTTCTAGTCACCTGGACAAGAGACCAGGGGTGGCTCCAAAGACTCATTGAGTAGATTCTTCAGTGATCAAGTAACTTGCAGAAGCTCAAATCCTTTTCGATGAAATGTGGGGTGAGTAAGAAAGGAGACTAAAAAATTATTGCTTGAATAACAAAAAAATTTTTTAAGAGATTTATGTTGGTGTTAATGAGTGTATTGTCAGTTGCATCATGACAGGAAATAAAAAAGTTTGTCCTGGTAAATTTAAGCTGATTTGTATCTTAAAGACCCAAGCCAGTACTGTTAAGGGAGGCTTTTTCCTTGCTATCCGCTTTGGTTTATCCCCCGCCAGCCGCCTGGGCTCTGCCGCATTGTAGTCCCCAAATAACACACAAGATGCTGTATTAATTATGAAGCTGTTGGCCTTGCTTGTTTCTTACTGGCTAGCTCTGACTTAAGTAATTACCCCATAATTGTTAATCTAAGTATTTCTCTTACCGGAGAATGGTTCCGGGCTTCCTACCCCCATGGCGTTACATCTTGACTCTCCTGTGTTTCTCCTTCTCAGAGTCCTCCTGGACTCCTAGTCCCTCCTATCTAGGTTTCCTATTGGCTCAACAGTACTTTATTGACAAATGCACAGGACTTCCCCCAACATCTCCTCTTTTCTCTTTAAACAAAAAGAAAGGTCTTAACTTTAACATAGTCAAATCATATATAACAGAAGAGTTATCAAGTAAGAATTCAGTTACAATATTTTGTCTATCAACACTCAGCAAGATTTAAAGAAAATATCATCTATCCCATCCTTGTGAGTCCAAAGTTCTATATGTAGCTTATCTTTTATCACAACTAAGGAAAACTATAACTATCTGTCTTCAACTCCATCAAAGACCACAGAAGGATAATATATAAACACTAGGATTGACAGAGACATCTTACTGCCTGGACAGTCACCCGAAGTTCCACTGTAATGTTGGGGCATCCATCTTCAGCCCATAGGCCACAATGTGTCTGGAACACTTCTCAGCAAATCAGGAAATTTCTAACCGTCCATCTGCATTGGCAGTCTGTCAGTCATTTTTCTGTGTCCTGCAGAATGTCCCGTAGACTATTCCATGAAGCAGGAACCCTGCAAGACTGAGTTCAGCAGTCACTTTTCTGTGGGTCCTGCATGTTCAGTTTATACAGCAACAGTCAAGCAGTCTAGGCAAGAGCAGTTTCTTGCCCAAATGGCTAATCTTGCCATGTTGAAAGCAAACTCCATAACAAGTTTCTTCGATGCCCATCTTCCTCTCAGACGTAATTGGTGCTGCCAGGAGCAGTCATTTCTCATTGTTAAGAAAAGCCCTAAACCATTTTAAATGCCATTTTCTGAAGGTCTTTGAGAGGTTTGAAGACTGTTTATCTATCTCAAATATATTTCTGTATATCTAGAAAACCTAACTTACCTAACTATAAATTTTGACTATTATAAGTAACTATCTATAGTCTGTATTCAATTATGCATTATGTTTTAAAAGATCAGTATAAGCACAATACTTAATCAAGAGGAGAAATATACATATCACAAAATTGACCTTGAATTCATATCAATAAAGGAAAAACAATACCCATAACATAATTCCCCTTTTTACCATTAACAAGAGATCAGCTGTGATCATTAGCCAATTATAAACAATCCCATTTAAATGAAAACAAAGATTTATAAACAAGATGGGAATCAGGACGTCGCTCATTCCAAACTGCTTCATGCTGGAAGGGGGCGCTGTTCATACCATGGGGATCATGACAAAACTCAGAAACCTGTATAAGTCCGTATTTTCGGGGTCTGTAAAGCTCCATCATCTTAGCTGTTTCAGTTGTTGGAACAACTGGTCCACTGCTTCCAGGGGTCTTGGTTCGTCAAACCACAGAAGCCTGGAAGGAATCCTCAGCTTTTCATTTTCTGTGGAAAAATAAACTAAAACTCCTTTTCCAAGTAACATATCCTTATACTTAAATTTTGAAGTCAAGGCATTTTTAAAAGATAGAAGTTGGATTCATTCAGCAGCATTTATAATCAAGTGTACTTCAGTAGCTGTTATTTCCTTAGCAAACAAAAAACTGAAAAACACAATAGCATACAGTATCCAGACTCTCTGTGTATTTTCCATCTTTATGTGGCTTACTTATGTATTATTACTTTATTTATTTTACTTTTATTTATTTTTCTCTGAGACAGGGTTTCTCTTTGGAAATCCGCCTGCCTCTGCCTCTGGAGTAAATCTTACCAGCATGCGCCACCACAATGCTGGCCTTTGTATTTATATACCACTTTGCTGTTTCATTTTCTCTCTCAATCTCACGTATATTTTTAAACAGACTGTAAACCTTTAGAGGCTTTCCTTTATCCAAGTCTGACTTTACAGTAAATCTTTACGTTTTTCTGGCCAGGTGTCTAATTTGTAAAACCGCGGCTGTTTTAAACTGCCGTTTCAAGATGGCGGGCGTAAGCGTGACTTCAGCTTACCGCCTCAGTCCATGCTGACCTCCAGCAAAAGCTGCCACTTCCAGCTGTACATACAACTTTTCAATTGTTAGCAGAGTCTCTTAAAACAACCTTGCTGTTTTTTTTTCTTTTTATGCCAAGTCAGGAAGACGTGAATCTCGGCTTGTCGATAGCAAAACAGAGCACACCTGTGAAAAATGCTGCTACCAAAATCTGTGCTTCTCTCCGTTCTTCTGTTTCTAAAATTCCTTTAAATCTTTTGTTATTTTGTGTGGAAATTCATGATCCCACTCCTGATCACCATTTTGTTAAGGGAAGCTTTTTCTTTGCTAGCCGCTTTGGTTTATCCCCCGCCAGCCGCCTGGGCTCTGCCGCATTGTAGTCCCCAAATAACACACAAGATGCTGCATTAATTATGAAGCTGTTGGCCTTGCTTGTTTCTTACTGGCTAGCTCTAACTTAAGTAATTACCCCATAATTGTTAATCTAAGTATTTCTCTTACCAGAGAATGGTTCCAGGCTTCCTACCCCCATGGCGTTACATCTTGACTCTCCTGTGTTTCTCCTTCTCAGAGTCCTCCTGGACTCCTAGTCCCTCCTATCTAGGTTTCCTATTGGCTCAACAGTACTTTATTGACAAATGCACAGGACTTCCCCCAACACAGTACCATAATTTTTTTCAGGTTCTGGAATGCTGTAGTCTTCAAGTGGCTAGGTCATGTTCAGTGTGTGTGAGTGGCAGTCTAAGAAGCATAGAGTTGTAGACTTGGAAAGCAAGTATAAGGTTATCTGATATAGTCTTCCCTGTGATGTCACTGACAAATAGTTCAGCTCTTCTTGGAATTAATTGCAAGGGCAGAACTCTTTACCCCAGGAAGTAAATTCTGCTCAACAGCTGCAGGGCAGCAGGTTTCCAGAGTTACTATCAAGTAGAGAACTATGTTTTCAAGGAATTACTAGAATCAACTTGAAAAAAGTATGTATTATACATTGTATCAAGATACTTCTTAAATGGTCAGCACTAATTGCCTTTATAATGTTAGGGAAAATCACCAAAGTTAAAATAATTTTCCTTAGCAAATGACAAATAGGAAATAAAAATAAATTTAAAATGAGGTTTAATATGGTAATATGACTTTCTCAAAAACAGTAAGTCTCACTAAATTTATCCTTATCCATGTGTTTCCTACTTCTTGCCCAATATTAGCTGCACAGGTGAATTACTTTGCTGAGTACTTGAAATTAACTAAATGTTAGGTCCCCAGGAAAGTGGGACCCATGGCTAACTCAGGTACTGTTAACATATCAAAGCAGATGCTGGTCATCAGGTTCTCCCAGCATTTCAAGTACCTATTACAGTGGCTCCTCTCGGCTCTTGTCACTCACCCCAGCCCCTACTAAACCTCTCTGGGCCCCTGCATTTCAATACTCCCTCCACAGTTTCTCCTTCCTGTATAACTCAGCCATTTTGGCCCTCAGCTTCTCTCTTCGTCCATTTTCCCTCTCTCTTCTTACCTCTCTTCTCTTCCTCTCTTGCCTTCCCCCCTTCTCTCCCATCTCATGGTGCAGTCTACTCTTCTGACCATGTTCACTCTAGACTCTTCTAAATACCACTGAAGTGGTCCTGTCCTCGTTGTGGTGGCAGCCTATAGTTTCTGAGGTTCAGTCCATTATCTCGACAGGGAGCATGGCAGCCTGCAGGCAGATGTGGTGCTAGAGTTGAGAATCCTACATCTTGCAGGCAATGGGAAGTCAACCGTCTCACTGGGCATGGTTTGAGCATAAAAAAACCTCAAAGCCTGCTTCCACAGTGACACACTTCCTCCAACAAGACCACACCTACTCCAACAAGGCCACACCTCCTAATAGTGCCACTCCCTTTGAGGGGCCATTTTCTTGCAAACCACCATAAACAGAAACAGTTAGTCTGAAGTGTGTCACAGATCTACACATGCCCTCCTGGTTTGGAATTGCATTGGCAATTGATGCAAAGAGTTAGTCATCCGGTGCAAAGAGTTGAATGTGTTGAGGCCTCAGACAATAGAATCTCACGTTGTACATAATTTGTAGGGAAAACAGAAAGGGGAGTTTTGTGATCACCAGATTTTTCCGATATGAAAAGTGTGGCTTTCCATGTCACCAGCTCATTCCAATGTCTATCTTCACAATAACTGAGGTGCATTAGTGATGTCTGTA